GATTCTTAAATTCTATTTAATATTAGTTATGGTAATGTACATTTTAGAAATTTTGATACATTTTTAAATAATTGATTACATTGATCCTTTGAAACAAATTGTAATAATTGTTAGATTTTTCTCATTCATTTTTACTTGATATCTATACCATATAATTCCTTGGTTATTTTAAGTTGGGCAAGGTGATATTAGTTCATATTTTTAACTAAAAAAATTGGGAATCAAGAGGTGATGTGTGCTAAATCTAAAGTTGCTTGTGGAAAGATGTCAAGATCTTCTTAAAAAAATGAATCAAGCTCGAAGAGTGAAAGGAAGAGAGAGCGGTTACGTCTTAATGAATCTCTTAAATAATTGTTCACAAGATACTTGGTTAAATCCTTCTAAATAGAGAGAGAGAGGTAAGTCAAATCGAGCTATAAATGAGTAATTCAGAGAAAAAGATATTCTGAGGAGTATTTTGTGCGAGATTCTATAATTTCGATGTGGCATTTCATATGTTTGTGTTGCTTCAACGACATTCTTCATTGCTGTTGGATTTTGGGCGCTTCACGTGAGGTAGGATTTTGAACTACTCGCTAAAACCTTATTGTCTTCCTTCAACGACATTCATTTCTATCGAATCAGAAGTTGCGAAAATTCACCATTCTTCCTGTTGGATCGAATGTAGCTGCTTGCTGTGAAGGTAACTATCCTTCTCTTTCTAAGAAGGGTGTTGGTTGCTGGGGTTCGACGCTTGTTTGCTAGAGGTTCGAAGAATGAATGAATTGTCGGTTCGACTCTATATTATTGTTTTTTTTTATTCTGATCACACCCTCTCGGTATCCTTCTGCCATCCGAGTTTTCCATTATTTTTTAACACTTGGATCAAAATTATCCCATTTTAAAGAGTTCAGGGACCAACTCAAGATTGTTAGGGATCATTTTTGTCCCTCAAAGAGTTAAGAGGCAATTTTGGTCCTTTTCTCAATTCAAAATTAATGTTATCATAATTTTTTCTTTTGCAAAGTTAGAAGAGAAAAGGGTTGTTTGAGAAGACAATTTTGTTTTCAAGTCATTTATTAAAGTAACAATTTACAAGATTTTTTGGGCACTTTCCTTTCGAGGATAAAATATTTTCATATTCGTCTTCATTCCATGCTCTTGGAATGCCCTTTCACGAGTAAGTTTGAAGTCAATGTACTCTAGGGCTAACTTTTTTTTTAACTATGCAGGATCTTTCTCATGTGGGTAGGGTGACACATTCCTAGCTACATAAGTTATTAAGTTTTAGAGTAGTGACCAAAATAGTTTCCTAACTATTGAAGGTATATTCTCACACTTCTAGACTAGCCCTTTGGTAATGACCTTGTAAGCTTCCTACCATGATTAATCTTTCTCTTGCTTAACTAGTTGAGTATACATTTATGAAATAGATTTCTTTTATTTTGAACTAATTCTTCTGTCTCAATTTTCTTGGCTTGAAACCGATTTCAAGCAGAAAGTTAAATGACTTTAAAAAATTGAACTTGTTGATAGGGGAAATCAGAAAGTTAAATGACTTAAAAAATCGAACTTGTTGATTGTTCCTTGACGTTATCAACCTATTGAGATCTTTGGGACAAAAATCCTTTAAATATAGTGAAGCCATTTGGGACGAGTTCCAATGTTCCATGTGTATGATGAATTCCTTTACAATAGCAAATAGAGAAATTCATTGGAGCACATTCTTGAAGTATAGTGAATTGTCGAATTCATTAAGATGAATTCCTTGGGTATAGAGAATTGCCAATTCAGTGTAATGAGATCCCCAAGTTTGATTTAAACATAATAGATTGTGTAAGTTTTTATAGTCCAAATACTTATGATCACATTTTCTTTTGTAAAGATAGCATAAAAAAAGTTGACTCATAAGATGATTCTATTTTCAATTCATTGATTAAAGTAACAATTTATAAGATTTTTTTTAAGCATTTTTCTTCCTATTTTAAATAAAATTTTCCTTATATTTACTTTATTTTCTTGGAATGTTTATCTCTATGAAAGTTTGAAGTCTATATGCTCTAGGGCTGACTCACCCCTATGATGCACCGACACTTCTCCTCAAAGAGGCGTGCAGTGTCCGACACCGTGTCCGACACGACACTCGTCCGACACTCCTCCGACACGTGTCGGACACGCCGAAAATGTGTCCGATTAAAAAAATATTAAAAACAAATTGGACACGCGTGTCCGACACGCGTATCTTAAATATTTTATAATTTTTTATTTATCCATATATGGCTACGTTGGGCCTTTCATTGACCAATTTTCAAAATTAAAAAAAAAATTAATTGAAGGACCAAACAAATCATGACTTGGTATGCTTAGGGATCAAATTGGAGGGAGAAAAAAAGATGGTGTCAAAATAAATATATTTTAAATAATCAGGAAATCATTTTAGTTATTTTCTATCTTAAGGTTGAAGTGGTGGTGCTTGACATGGTAAAAGCCTAAACTTAAATATTTGTTAATACCTTATTCAAGAAAATAGATGTGTATCTCATTAGTTATAAGAATGGATATAGTAAAACTCAGATTACTTATTTTTTATAAGAAAAATAGATCGTTTAGTTTGTAAATATTGTAAAATTATTCTGAATGAAAGTTTATTATTCAAATTCACTTATTAGTTTTGGACTTTAAGATGAAGGGAAGAGTATATTAAAAAAAAAGTTAAATATTATTCTAAGATTAGATGGGGACATTTAAAGAATATTAATAAAATATTTTAAGATTTTGTCTATGCACAAGAAAGCTAATATTATATGAGAAAAAATAGCTAGTGATATTAAGAATATTACAGTATCAAAGAGAAAAACTCCTAATAGTAAGAATAGTTGGTGGTGAAATCAAAATATCAAAGAAAATATAAAAAATAAGAAGTTTTGTTTTAAAAATTGGCGTATTAATAAAAACTTTGACGATTGAGAAAGATATAAAGACGCCTGTAAGGAGTATGAGAAAGCAATATGCAATGCAAATATTTTAGCTTTTAATGTTTGTATAATAAATTACATATTGAGGGCAAAAGATGTACAAGTTAGTCAAACAAAAGATAGGAGTAATAAGGATTTAGTTCTAGTGAGTGCATTAAGGATGAAGATCAATAAATGCTTTTATTAAAAGAGGATATTCAATAAAGGTGAATGAGATATTTTACTAAACTTTTTAATGAAGATTATAAGAATACGATTAACTTCAGTAATCTTAGCACCCTAAATTGAAAATAATTTCTTTATTTTTATCGACGTATTGATAAAGTCGAAGTTAGAGAGGCTTTAAAGAAAATGAAGTATGAAAAAGCTGTTGGACTTAATGATATTCCAATAGAGATGTGAAAATGCTTAGGAGATGAAGGAATTATTAGCTTACTAAATTTTTTGATATTATTTTGAAGACTAAAAAGATGTCAGATGAGTGGAGAATGAGTTTGTTAATTGCTATTTTTAAGAAAAAAGGGTTAATAATGCTTATATTCAAGTCATCAAGGATATTTATGCTGGAGCTATTACTTGTTTCCAAACACAAGGTGGTTTGACCATGTATTTTCCTATTTCAATTAGATTACATCAAGGATCAACTTTAAGCACATATCTTTTTTGCTTAAGTCCTGGATGTTCTCACTAGACATTTGCAAGAGGTTGTACCTTGGTGTACGTTTTTTATTGGTGATATTCTTCTTATTGATAAGACTAGATAGTGAGTTGAAGTTAAACTTGAATTATTGAGGTCAACCTTAGAGTCTAAAGGTTTTCATTTGAGTAGATCTAAAACTGAACATATTGAGTTTAATTTTAGTAGTAAAAGATATAGTGAGGGGTTTGTGACTTTCGGTGATCAAGTCATTAATAATTTTTTTTTTGGGACATTTAGGCCATTTAAGGCAAACTCACACACACAACGCATACATATAGACTCGAACCCTGGACCTCTTAGTTGGAAGCCTAAGCTCTCAACCAATAGGCCAAGGAGAGTTGTGTACAAGTCATTAATAAGATTACACATTTTAGATATCTTGAGTCAATTGTTCAGAGTGACGGTGAAATAGATTGAGAAATTGTTAGTATAGTTCAAGTTGGATGGCTGAAGTGGAGGAATGCATCAAAAAGTTTCCCTCAAACTTAAGGGAAAATTTTATAAGATGGTGGTGAGACTTGCAATGATTTATGGTGCAAACTGTTAGCCATTAAAAGAGAAGCATGATATCAAGTGTTGTAGAGATGAGGATGCTTAGGTGGATGAGTGGCTTTACCCTCAGAGACAAGATACAAAATGTGCATATACGTGAAAAGGTTGGAGTAGCTTCAGTGGAAGATAAGATTCAAGTGAGTCGTCTTAGATGATTTGGTCACATAAAATGGCGGCCTTGCAATGGCCCAGCTAGGAGAGTAGTTGTATTATATTTGGCTTATGTTAAGAAAGATAGACGTAGACCTAAAAAGACTTGGTCAGAAAAAAAAATTAGAAATGACATTTCTTTATTAGATTTAAGCGATAATTCGACTCTTAACAGAACACAATAAAGAAAAAGGATTCATGTAGTTGACCCCACATAGTGGAATAAAGGCTTGATATTATTTTTGTTATTGTTGTGCATCAATTGTTTTTCACTGTTGGCCTCAAATAAAAATCTATAACTTAGGCATGTTATTAGTTGCTTTTCAGGTTTACTTGATAACTGAAACACATAACGGCTCTTTTGGTTTCTTGTAGATAAAGACATGTTTTAACAATTAAAATTTTGTCATCTCACTTATTTTAGGTATGAAGTTGGATTCTCACTTTCGAATGATTTTAAAGGTGGTTATGACTTTAAAATCTTTATCATTATTCATCTACATCCAATTAAATAGTGAAATCTAATGAAATTTATAATTTTCAGTCCTTATTTTGTAACTTTAAGAGGCCAAATGAGCACTAATTCTCTTCGCATACTTCTCAGCTGATGCATGAATCTTTCTCTTCTCATGCTCTAATTATAGGACCCCGTCACTGGGAGTGCACATTGTCTATTAGCGCCCTATTGGAGCAAGAAACTGGGAAAGCAAAATCTTATGGCTTATCAGGTACTTTTATTAGCATGATTTGCATCATTCTTCCATATCAAAATAGGTTAAAATATAAATAATACATTTAATGTACTGATATAGGCTTCTCCACGTGGTGGGATACTGAAACTTCAACTGGATGAGCCGAACCAGCGAGTTCTCATTCGTGGTGAAGCAGTAACTGTCATGACTGGAACTCTTTTTTTACGAATGGAATGATTTTCATCTATCTTAAGATTCCCATGGAAATGTAACATATCTCTAAGGTTATGGATGAAACACAATAATAGTAGCAACTTTTAAACGCCATACAACTAGATTTGGAGAAGATGTAATGTGTGAATGTGCTTCGATTTCATGCATATATTTGATAGTAAGTGTTTGCTGATTTGTTCGAAAATCTGTGTATTTGGATTACAATATATCTTGCCTAGAGAATGATGAGATTTGCAAACGTAAACAATCTTGTTCAATATTAGAAAATCTTGAGTGCAATTGTTTTCTCTTTTCTCTACATTTAATATACATGTTCATGCAAAGAAATGAATAAAGATGGCTTTAAATGGTACATTCTTTATTATAAGCAAATTTTCATGGTTTGTGGCAAGGTGAGTACAATCAACACATTTGATAGCAACTTGTTAGAACCCTTGTTAAACTTGGTTATAAAATAGTGTTGTTATTTATCATTAAGAAATAACATTATATTTTACAAACTACAATCAAACTAGAATATTTGCTATACAATTTTCTAATAAAATTGCAACTCAAATAGTAAATCTCAATTTCAAAATTTTAAAAGCCAACATAAGATAGTTAGGAGCTACTTCTAAGCTTCTTAAAATTATATACTCTCTACATGCCTTCCTTTGGCCTCTAAAAATAACTATTTCATTTTGAGCCAATCTCAATTGAAATTTCAATTAATTCCTACTGAATGGATCATTTTTTGTCTGAAATTATATAATCCACTTCAAGATATTGTGCGCGGTAGTGAGGGTTTTTAGGCTTTGGAACTTATTATGATCAGTTTTAGAATTTGTTAAAACACTATAATTTTATTGTTATGTAATCTGTCATAATAGAACAACAACATATGGGTCTCTTAATAGATTTTGTACAGCTTGATCGAAACAAAGTTTATTTAATTGATTTTAATAACATAAATTTTACATGAAGTTCACTTTCTTGTAAACAAGAGGGAAATATATTTTGAAGTGAATGTTTAAAAAGTCCATTAAAGATAGAATTACAAATAAACATATATATAGACATTATTAATATAAAACATATTAGATAATAATTTCATTGGTTTTAAGTATTATGTATCCAAATTCCCAACGTTTTGAAAACCGGACCGGACCGGCCGGTTCAATCGGTTGAACCGGCACCCGGCCGGCCGGCTGGTTCCGTTATCTAATGAAACCGGGTAATCAAAGAACCGGCATTGAACCGGTCCGACCGGCGGTGGGACCGTGAACCCGGCGAACCAGAAACTAAGAGAGAACCAGCCACTTAAGCCTTAATGTGATTTCCACCGTTTGATATTAATCTGCGGTATTTTAAGAATTTAAGTATTAGTAAAACATGTAAAGCTAAACCTAATTTCATTTTCTACCTCCCTTAACTCTCGAAGCCGCTCGTCTCCCGTCTCCGATTTTCTTCCTTCTTCGCTGTTCGCGCAGCTCCTCCTTCGTCCGTTCGTCGCTGCAGCTCCTCCTTCGTTGTTCGTCGCTGCAGCTCCTCCTTCGTCCGTTCGTCGCTGGTCGCTGCAGCTCCTCCTTTTTCCGTTCGTCGCTGGTCGCTGCAGCTCCTCCTTCGCCGTTCGTTGCTGCAACTCCTCCTTCGTCGGTGCTTGAATCATTGTAAGGTGAGGAGATTGTATAAAAACTGAAAACCTAAAATTTGATGTTTAGTTTGATTTCAATCGTCGCTGGCTTTCAAAATTTATTATGCGTTGATTTCAATTGTTGATTAGGTTTAGTTTTATTTCAAACTAAACATCAATCGTCGCTGTGATGCTTAAAGAATGGCTGTGATGTAATCTTTACAAAACTTAAAATCAGAGAGAAAATGAGAATGTGACAAAAAAAACTGAGAAATAAGAAGGATAGAGGAAGGGAAAGTCATACTTTTCCATGGCATTTCCAGATAATTAGAAGAAGCTTGCTCTTATATCATCATCAAGTTATTCTTTTTATATATGTATCCAGCACTTTTTTGTGATCATATGAAACTCTCTCATAAGATGGAATTTTATGGGATTGTGAATACTCTGATAACCAACTAGTTAGAAATTCTTAATTGTTCGTTATAGTGTAATATGAACACCATTTTTTTACCTAGGCATTCTAGGAGCACCATTAGTTATATATAAGTTCTTATTGGAAGTAATCGTTCAAGAAAGCTATCTTATTACAGTTATAGAATCCAGTTATGGTGTTAGATAATAAAGAAAAGCTAGATCTTACTAAACACTCATATTAGTATGCATCTTAAGAGGTTTATATACTTTTAGATTTGACTTTATAGTTGGAATTTTGAATGCCATGTTTCTTTTAATGCAGTTTTCATTTAAATTTTTTTTTTGAAATGTTGACACAATTTCACTATTCCTATAAGGTTATTCTTATGAATTTGTGAGTCAATAAATTAACAATACAGATTTATATCAATTTTAGTTTAATTTGTAGAGATGATTATTTTAGAAATTTATTAGGAGTTTAAGAATAAGAATTTCCATTAGATTTATTAATTTCTAAAGCCATGATTGATTCAAGTACACAAGGTATGTCATCTTCATCACATATATTAGTTCAAGCTATTGCATTTACTTATTATATGCAACATAGAGTTCACAACATAGAGTTCACTTTTCAGACTAAATATTGATCCATTGTTGTTTAATACTACCAATGGATCAACAAAACAATCAATCTGCACATTCAACTCAAAGCGTTCGTGAGAAAGTAGATATCGCTTGGAATCATTTTACTGATTGTAAAACCACTGATGGTAAGAAGCAATATAAATGTCTTCATTGTGGAATAATTTATAAGGGAGGAGGCATTCATAGGATAAAGCAACATCTAGCGGGGATTAAAGGGAACATTGCTTCTTGTAAGAAGGTGCCACATGACATACGACATCAGATGCAACAAAATTTGAATGAGATATCATAGAAAAAACAACAAGCACAACAAGACTTGTCGCAGATTGATGATTTACTTGGTGAAGATCCAGTTGAATAAGAGAGGGGCTCATGTTCAGTCACGAAATCATAAAGTTCAGATATACATGGTAAAGGAATTGATAAAGG